AGGTTTGAAATGGTTGTTAAGGTACATTGTTGGTACATTAAATCTGGGTCTAGTGTATGAAAAGAGATCTGAAAAACTTACTCTAAAGGGGTATGTAGACTCTGATTTTGCTGGTGACAAGGATAGCAGAAAGTCTACCACAGCGTACTTTTTTACACTAGGTGACAATTGTATAACATGGAAGTCACAGCTGCAGCCTTTAGTTACTTTGTCAAGTACTGAGGCAGAATATGTTGCCATAACTGAGGCGGCTAAAGAATGTACTTGGTTAAAAGGAATTTTAAAAGAATTGAACTTCATGCATGATACACCTGTTATGTTTACTGATAGTCAAAGTGCTTTATTGCTTTGTAAAAATCCTGTTTACCATGAAAGAACTAAACATATTGAGGTAAAGTATCATTTTATACGTGAGAAACTGTCTCAAGGTGAAGTTAATCTTGTTAAAATTCACACTGATAGGAATCCCTCTGACATGGGAACAAAAATTCTACCTGCAAGTAAATTTAGATTGTACTTATCTTTATTACACATTGACACTGGTTAATTTTTTCTTGCAGGTGGTGGGCGATGATGATGAACAGTTCTTCCATGTGCAAATTCGCAACCAAGAGAGAGTGTTAGGAGAACCAAGGTGAAGAATGTGAGGATATGGTTCACCTAACCCCACCACCTAATGTTGTGAGTTGATGGGAGTGAGGTTGACACAATAAGGTCCTCCCACGTTTTGGCAGAGGCATGGTCTTCCTTCCTTCTCCTTCATATGGACTCTCTACCATTTTATATAAAAGAGGGGGCAGCTCTCGTTTTGGAGAAGACCCAGCAGAAAAAAAAAAAAAGGAGCTCTCGGTTTTTTCATAGGTTCTTCATTGGTTTTTCCCCTCTCTCTTTGGAAGGCAATTGGCATAGCATGGGGCTGTTCCTGAGCCTAGAAAAACACCCATAAATCGAAGAAGAAGCTGCCCAAAGGAGGAAGGAAAGCTGGACAGATTTCGGCCAAAAAAGGGTTGTATTTTTCCATTCCCGTTTTTCTTTGTTTTTGCCTTGAATCTTGTTTGTTGATTGTTGTTTTGGTTGTTTAAACTCCTAGGATCCCCAACAGTCCTTCTAGTCTCTAATTTGGAACAGGGATGGAATTGATTCAAACAACCTGATACTCTTCCCTAGAGATCTCCAATGATGTCCCCCCCCAAGTCGTATTGACATACAATTTTGGACCATATTTGGGGTACATAATGGACACCATAATGGTGTCCATAATACCCAAGTGGCGCCCTCTTCTATTGGAGGGTGTGCTGGTGCCACAGAGAGGGCGCCACTTGGGCATTGTGGACACTATTATGGTGTCCATTATATCCAAGTAGAATAATCCTACAATTTTATCAAAAGAAGTCGAAGGAAAAAAAACTCAATCCGCTTCCCTAAAGATCTCTAATGACAGGCCCCTGCCAAAAGTTGAATTGATATACAATTTTTTCAAAAATATTGGAGGGGAGAAACACTTCAAAGATGGACCGTGCACCCACACAATATCGAGGAATTCTTGATTGGTATCAAGCTAGAACCACATATTCTTCCTGAATATCATTATTCAACACCAAAGAATTTCTAGTGCTGGAATAGCATCGAAACTGAACAACTCTTACGAAATTACCATGTGTAACAAGTAGGAGAAATCTCTCTATTTTTTTCCGAGGAATATTAATGTCCTTACTATAGTGTACTATGAGAAAGAACGAGTTGGGGAGATCTTAAGTACTCTACCGAAAGCAGGACTACTTAAGATTAGAACGTTGCAGCTACTGAAGAAGACTATCATTCCGCTACTCTAATAGAAGATAACCTCATTGAAATCTATTGATTTATAAAATTGACTCAGAAGCTTAACCTTTAGAAGCTACTGATGAGAACATAGATTTGAACCAAATATAATTATCTTTTTTCCCATCTTTTCGACTTTTTACTTCATTTTCTCGACTGGAACAGCTGATAAGACCAGGTACAAAGACATATAGTTCCATAACACAGAGTTGCAATCATTCCACAAACAATTAAGAAAGTTTCATTTCATGGTACTGCAAAAGAAATGAAGCTAAAAACTAACTAATAAAGCTTCAATTGCAAATTCATGTTTGCTAAAAGGCAACGAAATTAATGATCAGTGTACCCTATTATAATGATATTTGATTCTTGAGAATTGCAAAAGGCTGTAGCAAGCTTACATCAAAATGAGTATTTGTTTACTCTGCATCATCGTCATCATCAAATTCTTCAATCTTTTGCCCAAAACCTCGGGGCCCAGCTTTAGATCTAGCTCCAATTTTACTCTTTTTACCAGTCCTCTTCTTCCTAGCAGCCTCTTCTTTCTCAAATTTATCTCTCTCCCTTTTCTGCAAGAAATCTGTCACGGCTATGTAGATTACCTGAGAAGTCCAAAGCATTCAGAATTAATAACAAACTTCTTGTCCAAATATCAAATTCAGCTAAAAATGTTAATATCAGAGTGAAATTTACCCCAACTGTAAGAATGGCTAAACCGATGAAAGCAATGAAAAGAAGAGTTGATATTACAGTAGAAACACCATCGTCGGTTGTGGAGACTACTTCCTGCAAATTCTCCTCTGTTGAAACTTCTGACAGCAAATAATTTCCACTTCCAGCAGAATATTTCCAATTTCTTATGGGTTTTAGAGAAGCGGCACTAGATGAATTTCCGGAATTCAAAGTTCGTGTTGATATCTGAGTGGATGGAAATCCAAAAATTGGGTTGTTTGATCGAGAGAATGAATGGTGGGCATTGATAAAATTACTCGGTTTACGCTTGGGAATCAAAGTGAGAGCTGGAGGAGATGATAAAAGGGCAGATGATGCAGCCATTTTCGTCAGCTAATTTATTGCTGCTACCACATCGATCCTCCTCCAAAGTATAGCTGTGGGTCTAAAAATTGTACAAACTCAATTGAAGTGTGGGTATGGGATAATGCCACTGTGTTATCTTCTCACTTCTAAAGAACAGATAGGTAGAACGTTTTGATAACAATCTCAATTTAAGTGGAATAACGAGTTGTGGAGATGAGCGCAAGTCAAATATTCAAATGGTTCATACGAGTGGACTTATGAGCCGAACAAACTAGCTCGTGCACACGGACCAACTCGCGAACCACCACTACGCGAGCCTAGCCCTACATTTTGATACATTTGAAAATTCAAATTCAAATTTTTTCCATGCATTACAACATTATTTTTGTCTATAAGAAGGCAGTATCGTTATCTTCGATTTTCACACATCTTTTGCGCTCATCATATCGAGTTGAGATCTGTTGTTTAAACTTGATTATCCAATTTGCAGTCTACCCAATGATTCATTAACACATCATTTTAAATTAGCATGTCTAACTTTAATGATGTGTTAACAAATCATTGGGTACACAACAAATTGGATAGTCAATGTTAGACAGCAGGTCCCTACTCTATCGTATTGAACTTTTTCTAGCTTCATAATTTTTTTACTA